GAGCTTGTGCAATCATTCTTTTCACCTAAGGCCGCAGCTGGTAGTATTTTATTCTTCTACAAGGGAGAAGAACAATACGAACTCGAAGAGGAAGTGGAAGAAGAGGTTGAGGTGACGAGAGAAGCCACCCCAACAGGTAAGTAAATTTTAGACAGAGCTGAAGTAGTTGGTTCTAACTCAGTAAAATGCTGCAGATCCTCCAAGTGATGGCTTGTCGTCAGCTGAACCGACGGATGAGCAATTGTTTCTTGATGCAGAGGCTCCAACACCGCAAACAGAGACGGTCAAGAGACTGGTGAAGCGATCACGATCAGCTACACGCTCAGTTTGTCACGCATTCTTGAATACCCTACCAGCAGAGTCCTCGGAATCCGCTTCAGTATTCTTAATCAAGGTGGCTGCTGGACCAATTACAGTCCAAAACGTTGTGACCGATGGACACGAGAAAGTGGTGCACTCGAACGTGGAGCTTGGTTGCTCGACAGGGGACTTGCTGTCTAATCTAGAAGGAGTCATCTGCAACGTGTTCATGCCGTTACTAGATCCTCAACTTACTAGACCGGATAATTCTAACGGACGACCAGAAGGCGACGAGAATGGAGCAAAGAACTCAACTGCAGCGCATCAGGCGCTCAAGGTCATCGACGCTGTACGCAACGAGTTCAAGAGCAACTTGGTCAAATTCTCGTCTCAGATCTCCAACGCCATTCAACAGATTCAGGGCGACATTCACTTGAACATCCCTGATGTGGTTATCACGAAGCCTGAATCTCATTTGGACGACTACGAGCTCATTAACAGACTGGAACAGGCACTAGAGGAATGGTCCAAGAGTGTAGTCAGTGTAGTAGAACAGGAAATTCGCAAGACCCCAAAACGCAAGGGACCACTCGCCGAGATCGAGTTCTGGAGGGAGCGTAACGCTACATTGAGCACCATCTTCGAGCAGATCAACATGCCCACAGTCCAGAAGATGCTCAAGCTGCTGGAACTTGTTGAAGCGAGTATGCTTCTTACTTTCAAGTATCACTTCTCGGAGCTCAGTAAACTCTATGTGGAAGCGAAGGACAACGTCAAGTTCCTCACGACTTTGGAGCGCCACTTCAAAAACATCGCGAGTGGTTCCTTCTCAGCGATAGCAGACACACTGCCGTCCATGATGAACGCTATCCGTATGGTCTGGATTATATCGCGGCACTACAATACGGATGAACGTATGGTGCCGTTGATGGAGCGTATCGCTTCGGAGATCGTGGATAAAGTGGCGGTGGAGATCAATATCCACACCATCTTACGTAAGAGTCCGGATAACGCATTGCACGCGATTGAAGAGGCCAAAATGGTGCTTGAACTATGGCACTCGACATACATGAAAGTTCGTGAACGCATTGAAGCTAGTGGCACAGACCATCGCTGGGAGTTCGACCGTAAGCGGCTATTTGAACAAACCAACTACATGGCCAAAATCTGCGAGAATCTGCAAGAAGTGGCTACAGTTTTGGACCAATTCAACAAGTTTTTAGGTCCAGAACTCAAGTCTGTGACGGGAGATTCACAGGGAATTGACGAAGTTATGGCACGTGTTGAAAGTCTCATTGCACCGTTCGAGAGCGTCCCGTTTAAGATCTTCGATCGCGGCTACAAGACCAGCTGGGAGTCGGTCATGGTGCAGTTTAGAGACAAAGTGAGCGAGATCGAGCAAATGACACGGAAATTCATCGACACGTCCTTCCAGAAGCTTCGGTCAGCGGAAGGAGCGTTTGATCTGCTGCAGAACTTTCAGAACATCCAGTCACGCGACTCCATTAACAAACAGATGATGGAGAAGTACAAGGATATCCTCATGCAATACACGAAAGAGCTGGAGAAGCTAGAGGAGCAATTTCATCGCTACAAACACCGTCCACCGGTCTACAAGAACCACCCTCCCGTTGCAGGGGCTATTAGCTGGTCCCGTGCGCTTTACCTGCGTGCCAAGAAGCCTATTCTACGTTTCCGTGCAATGAATGATCTACTCAAAAGTCCTCATGGCGAAGAAGTGAAAGAGAAGTATCTGGTTTTCGCTCGTGCAGTGGACGCCTACATCAAACAGCATCACAAAGACTGGAAAGACAAAGTACCTGCCCTCACGAACGAGTGTCTGAAGCAGTCGATACTTGGCCCAAAGCTGGTAGAAGCAGGCAAAGCGGAGACCGGTGTCATGATGTACAAGTTACCTCAACCTCCGTTCTATGCGAACTTTTCGCCGGAGCTAGCGATGATCATCAAGGAGTCCAAATACCTTGATCGTCTTGGCTTTGAGATCCCAGAAGAGGCCCTGAATGTGACGCTGCAAGAAGACAAATATCACCAGTATGTACAAGACCTAACGCTTATGCTTCGTCGCTATGACTCGCTTCTGACCGGACTGACACCAGTGGAGACTCATCTCTTGCGCTCACAACTCAAAGCTCTGGAAGATGTCTTACGAGTGGGTTTCTCGCCACTCAACTGGAACTCCCAGCGTGTATTGAGTTTCATTGAGAACTGCAACAAGTCACTCAATCAGTTCGCAAACCTCGTGAGTCAGATCCACAAAAGCAGCAAAATGGTGGAAGAAATCGTGATGGACATTGAGAGCACGCTGCTCATCAAGATCGAGGATTTCGGGGAAGGCGTCGTGACGGAGGTAGGCGAATTCTACGAGCTAGTTGAACGCAACCGTATGCAGCGTATTGAGGAGCTCGTGCAAAGCTACCGTTCTATCGGTCCTCTACTGATTAAGGTGGAAGAAATCGT